GCCCCACGTTTGGTGTTGCGTATCCGAGTCTGTAGCCCCAGAAAACCTTTTTACATGCAGCGTTCGTAGTCCTAGCATTTTTTCTCTCGCTCAAATCCGCCTACTGCTGCTACACCACAACTAAAAAACATCATTCAAAAGGCTTTCAGGACGAGAAGTGGCAAAAGTAGGCCATGGTTTTAATTCATTCTGATTCAGTCTTTACATCCAGGAACACACCCTTGATGAGTGCACTTCGCTGCGGGGAAAATAGGTTACTTCCTGTTCCCTAAGCCTCCTTTATGTCCATACATCTAACAGCTCCAGACCGCAACTGATAGAGCCCATTTAACCTTATAGCTATACCATTAAGATGCCACTGTTCAATATTGGATCAGTGAGTGTTTATAGAATTTTTGTTATTTGTATTTCACTGATGTATTATGCAAAATCGATTTTTTGTTAGCTTTCTACCATGGCATAATGTTTACTCATCAAAAACGCGCATTAAGTTGAGCTTTTAACGTATTTTAGCGACCTCTCCCACCTGATTCGGACTCTTTTTATGGTTAGCTGTTAGTTTTCTTGCAATGCTCAGCCCACAAGCCTACGTCATCCTTTCTCCCATACGACAATTCTGCATAAATATACAAAAACATGATACAAAACTGTACACAGCAACTGACAAACCTGTGACATGCAGCTGGATGCACGCTGATTGTGCTGTGATGGAGCTCTGAAGGGGGGAGTCACTAAGGCTACGTTCAGACTGCAGCCTGAAGTGACCCGAATCAGATTTTTTTGCCCCTTTGCGACATGTATCTGATCTTTTAATGACAGTCTGAACGACACAGATCCGATTTTTTCAAATGTGACCCATTCCACTTGGATATGTGCTCCTTAAACCGATACATATCCGATCTTTTGACATGCGAATTCAGTCTGAACGGACAGGTCGCATTCATCACACCTACACGTCAGGCTCAGAGTCTTGTCAATAGACAGAAAGTGAGGTTAGTGAGTTTATTATTAATATTTGGGGGGATCTCTGTATTCAGGCCAAGCTGGAGAACCTGGTTTTTGATAGGTTTGTGATTGCCAAAGAAATGGACGAGCGCAGCTACAGGCGGTCCTGGCTCCAATATCAACAAAAATTTAAGAGCCTGTGAGCCAAATACAAGGAGGCTAAAGACTGAACCAAATGCGGCAGCCGTGGACGTGTAACTTGTCAATTTTTTGAAGAATTGGACCATATTTTTGGGAGACAAGCCCAGCGTTTAGGCGACTTCCGTAAACACTGAGCACTCTCGCTGCGTGTGACGTCACTGTGTCCTCCAATGCACATGCGGGACACTTTTGGGCCATTTAAAGTTCACACTGGAGATCACATACAAGTTGTATTTAATTGGAAATGTGAACGACCTCACAAAAAAATCTGAATTGAGCACTACACCCTGCAGTCTGAACGTAGTCTAAGCTCATGAAGCGAAGGAAGAGGAGAGTCAGAGTGTCATATAAAACATGTTAATAAATTGTTATTTGCGAAGACTGCATTTTCAAAACAATAAAAGGTAACATGGTGATTCAAATCTATTATGCATTAGTATACCCCATAGAAATAAAATACTTCAACTTTAAAGGAATTGTATGTAGCCTGCACTTTAAACAGTTTTAAAATTACTCAATCGCAACTGAACGTGCCTTGCCAGTGCCTTACCTTGGGATGAAGTTAGTGACAATTCAGATCAGAGAGAGCCATTTCAGGGTTAAACCAACTGGATTACAGCATTGAAACTGGCCAAAACTGGCAACCCAAATGAGAGACTCATGTGGCTCATTTGCTTTTCTAAATGGATAAACAAAAACATAAATGTAACCATCATGTCCAATCCTTTTTGTGTAATTAAGAATAAATGTTATCACTGAAAGCTATATTTGATTTGAATGTGTCTACCTTGTATTCGGGGACACAGTTTATGAAATTCTAAATCAAAATCTTACTTACTGTCCCTTTAATGCGCGACGGAGGATTCGGCTCAGAATTTTTTAGGACAAATTTAACATTTATATTGGCGAGGAGAGCGGTTATGTCAGCCATCGCCTAGCAACACCTGGCACGTCGCAGAGGTCTGAGAACCCAGCGAATGATTTCTTTATTTCGCACTCAGAGGAGGGCAGAGGGGCGCCAGGTTAATTGGGAGTGATTAGCGTAAATGTGCGTTGAATAAGTTGAGAATAGGTGCGAATTTAAAACTAGATTAGGGAGTGGAAAATGGTTAAATTACAAGGGCTACCCTGGACAGATCAGATTTTGTCACATTTCCAGACTGGCAGTTGCCTAAGGAGAAACTGTGCTTATTAGAGTAGATGTGTAAAAACTTTTGGATACGGGATCATTGCAAGATAGGGTCAGTATAATACAAGAAAGTTTTGGGTAAAAGCAAAAGAAGAATGTCAAAATATGTTTTACATGCAGCTGATTCTGGCTGATTCGATTCTGTCTCCAACTGACTGTGAGCCTTGTCATTTTGGTCTTAAAGTTTTTGTAATTTCGTATTCCTAATATCGAACACTGCAACAAATTTGCTCCTATAACCACCTTCCTCTTGAGCTTCTTTTAACTGGAGCTGTTGATGTATGATTACCATGCAAAAGGTGAAGAAGAGGAGATGGAGAGGCTGAGTAGGCAGACAATTTTGCTGCTGTGGTGTTTAGTCTTTTCAACCTCAAGTTAGTTTTCATGTTACATCACTATCAGACATTTTTACACAACAGTTTTACGGTAATTTGTTATGTAATGTCTCTTTTTATAATACGTCTCAATGATGAAAGATTTGGGAAAACAATTGTGATTTTTCTGACAAGCCTCTCTATTATATTGGTGATTAATGTTTTAATAATAGGATTTTTTTTTTTTTTTTTGGCTAAAAGCGTCCAAAAGAGCTGACAAAAGACTAATACAAGAATCAAACACATTCAAACAGTTTTATATAGAGGGTTAGCAGGTATATGCAGAAAAAACAGGATAACAAACAAAAATAAATGTAACAAACAAATTTTAAACAAATTCAGGCTTTGTGATTGGCTAATTGTTTCCATTCAAATTTCAAATGAGATTAATTTCCAGCTGTAATTCATCTCGCGTTTCAAAGTGCCCTACCCAAACACAGAGCTCTGATGGGACGCTGGTGGATCGGGGACAGAAAGGTGCCCTCGTCCTCCGGAGTTAAACTGGGTCCCAGGCTGCGCGGGTACAGGCAGGACTGGCCCATATCCTATATATAGAGCTGCTTCCTTTTGATTGAGCTGGAAGAGGGCGAAGTGGGTCAAGCGCAGCTACATCACTGGACAACCCAAAAGTCCTTGCACCTAGGATTTGTCAACAGTCTCCCTTAAAGTGCACAGGGCAGGTTAGACTACTCATTAAATTAGAAAGAAAACAAAAGAAAGAAGGAAAGAAATAGATTTTTTTTTTTTGTGTGTAGTTTTTACATTTATTTATTTGAGACAGGGACAGCACACAATTTTTGCATTAACCTGAGCAGGAGAGATGCATTGTACATCAGGTTGTAACATCAGTGCTAATTTCCATCCGTCGTCCCTGGGCAGAATTTTTGATTGATTGTATTAACTGACCTTTGACTATCAACTGTTCTGGAGACCTGTAGCATGTTTTGGTTTGATGGGGGAAACTGGAGCGCCCGGAGGAAACCCATCCAGACACGGGGAGAAACATGCAAACTCCACACTGAAAGGCCCAGGCGACCCAGGAACCTTCTTGCTGTGAGGCATGAGTTCCACCAGCCTTTTGCTTTTTAAAATTATGATAAAATGAAAAACATGAACTGTGCACTTTAAAGCCACAATATGTAACCTTTTAACCCAAAATACACCAATAAAAGATTTTTTTTTCCCACTTTGTTCTTTTTTTTTTTTTATGTCAAAAATCATGTCCTTGCAACCTGACTTTTATTTGGCCAGGAGAAGAGTCTCATCCTGTTTGTTTCCATGGAAATGTTCTTTTGGTTGTAATATTCCACAGAGAAAGTATGGTTTTAACTTTCTATTCTGATGGAGTCGTGCAGATGATGTGCCATTGTCAGAAAGTTGCATACTGTACCTTTAATGTAACCTGAAATGACCTGTGAGGAGTTTTAAATGCATGAGGTTTTTTGGGTTCTAGTGGTTATGTAACTGTGGCAGTGATGAGCAGGTGGAGGGGGGCAGTGGGTTTGGAGGTGGAATATGTGGGAAATGTCACCTCAGACCTGATGCAATAAGAGTCTGTGCAGGCGGACAGATGACTCTATAACCTGCCATGTAATAGGACAGCAGCGCTCAGGGCTTCAGCCAATCACTGCGCTCCATAAAAGTGTGTGTGCGATGTGTGTTAACTGGACTGTCATGAGATTGGAGTTTTCAAACTGATGAAAATCCATCGACTTTACTTTAAAGGTGCCCTTTAACTTTTCTGCCAATGCCTTGTCTCTATGGAGGCACTACTGCTTTGCCTATCATGTATGCTAGCATGTTTACAGTAAGAATGCTGGAATAGAGCAGTGCAGTCACATTTTTTGCAGTGGCCTCTTCACTATAAAGTGTTAAAATTAAGCTTTATTTCATCCCTCCTGACCACCAGGGGGCAGTGCTGAAAGCTCTCAATGTTCCCTTTGCACATTCATGTGAAACATACAGGCAGGATTCATAGAACCATAGTTACACATGGTGTAACTTTTATTTTTCAGCTCCAGCTATCAGCCTATACTAGCTATATAAGACTGAGAGCTGATGAATATAGGTCTGATACATCTGCCAACTGATACTGGTGTATCTCTACTTCATACTAATTTAGTTTAACGTGAAATCGTGTGAATGGCTTGTACCAGGCTTGTCACTCGGCTCACTAACTCCTCACTCAGTGCTTCTCTCTCTTCTCTCTTTCTTATTTACTTATTTAAATGTCCATTATAATGCCCCTTTCTCTGACCTCTCCTGTGTCTCTGCGTCTTGTGCCGTTCCAGTCCACCGTGCCACAGCCCACCTTCTCCATGCCCGTCACCGTGCCCGTGTCCAATCAGAACCCAGCAGCAGCAGCAGCAGCCGCTCTACAGTTCACTAACAACCCGGGGGCGCTGGTCACTACCACGTCCTTCGTAAGCTCCGCCCTCACAGACCCACGCCTCCTGTCGCCACAGCAACCGGCCCTGCAGAGGAACGCCGTGTCCCCCGGGTTACCACAGCGACCAGCCAGCGCAGGTAAGATGGGTGGTCTTCAGATTGTAAATAATATAATAAGCAATGGTGATATTTATATAGAAGGTCATCTGTAATCTTGGTGAGACAGGAGTGTGTGTACAGTAGGTGCAGTGTATTTTAGTTTACTTCAAGAAAACCTTCAGACTTAGTACAAATAAGAGTAGTTATCTATCAGAGTTGGGGACAGCAGGTTTTTAGGGTAAAGGATGCCACTAGTTTTTTGAATATTATTATAATTTAAATGAAATAGTTGGCAAAAAACATAACATATTTAGTCCATCCATCCGTTTTGTGGCACTTCTTGACATGAAGGAGCAGCAGCTCTACTCTGAGCTCCTCCATATTTAGAGTAGTCCACAACAAATTCAGATCATCGTAAATTACTACATGACTCTGGACATCAACAACATGCAAATATGTGAAATAACTACAGAGTAAACAAAACATAATAGTTCAATTAAAGGTGCATTATGTAACTTTTCTGATTGAGGGTCTGCCAGCTGTTGCCATATTTCCATGGAGATGTTAATGCTTTGCTTACGATGTTTCACATTAGGGCCATACTGTGTAACAAGACATTGTCGGAAATAGCGATTTGCTCGATATTTCTGTGCCTATATAGTTGGTAATTCAGTAACGCAAAAGCAGATTCTGAAAAAGTATTATCTTTACTTATCAAGTAGCCTAAAATAAAAATAAATGCCATATGCGTTCAATAATTTTAGTTTGAATTCAGTACCAGTATGATTCTTGAACAGCAGTTGTATTAGCAATAATAGTCTTTTTTCTGTCTTTTGAAACTTCTCTTGTTTACCAGTTACTTTTCTGAAAACACCACTTTAACAGTCACCAAATATACATCAAGCTCCATGTATAACTCACTGTATCTCCCAGGCTAATATTCAGACTTACTTCACTTTTCAACAATCAATCATTCATACTTTTCTTGTATAATTTCTGATACAGTACTGTTACACCTCCTCCCTTTGTCTTCACTAGCTGTTTATGTCATTTGCCAACGCGTGTGTTGATTACCGCGCCAAGGTATAACTTAATTTGCACCCCCCTCTTGAAAGCAGTTGTCATGGCGACCCTACCTACAAGACACACTTTTAAAGGTGTTATGGACTTTATTTTCTCCTAGTTTATGAAGCAACTGCAAAACGAATGACTCTGTGCTATCATGATGACAATTGTACTTCTATATTCACCATGCACAATGCTGTGTGATGCACGAAAAGTGGTATTGTTTTGAATGTCAGCTTCGAACCAATCCTTCACTCTCTCACTAAAAGAATTTGTGTCCCGTTTTTGCGTCGCAGACATGGTTAGTGATCAGGCTGTGTTCTGAGAAGCGTAATCTCATTCTAAGTCCAAATCAGGTGATGTAACGCGCACCAAACGCATTACAGCATCTTTCATAACGCGGCGCTCTCAGAGGTAAAAAGGTTTCAGGTTGTAATAATCCGAGCTCGGCTGTTTTTGTTCATCCAGCGTGATACACAGATACACAACCAGTGTAAACTGATGGAGTGCTCTTAAAGGAACTGTATGTAGCCTGGGCTCTTCCAGTTTAATCAAATGTTCTACAATGAACCTGTGTTGCCAGTGCTTTAACCTGCAAAAACAAGACACATACATGTTTTTCTCAGACACAGGACAGGCTAAGGCTCAAAGCTCAGAACCTCCAGAATTCCCTCCCTGAGCTGCAGAAGCTGCACTAGCACTGATTCATGATTGTCGGCATAAGCTGTGGTTTAGGTAGCGACCACTCAAATCAGAGAGAGACATTTTAAGTTTAAACTAGGCATGTCCAAACTATGGCCCGTGGTTCAAATGCGGCCCTCAGATACATTTTTCTTGGCCCTCACTCTTCCAGGTGAATTGGCCCAAATTACCTTGCATCTATTAAAAATTTACTTTTTACTGCAAGGTTTTGGAAAATCCACCTTGATGAAGCTAATATGTAATATTTAGTGTGTGGTTTTAAGGATCTTAGCATGAATAAAGACTGATGACTCATTCTAACATGTTAAACATGCACATATTTCAATTATTCACTGTACTGAGCACCAGTCTACCTCTGCTTCGTCTGTGTTGAGATATGTGGGCCCTGATGAAAAAAAGTTTGAACAAACCAACTGTATTTCAGCACTGAACCTGGCAACCCAAATGTGAGATACATGTGAGGCTTATTCTGCTTTCTGATTGGATGTTCATCTTAATCAGCATTACAGTTATTACCAGTAAAAACAGGATTTGATTTGAACATGTGTACCTCTTATCAGGGGCCACACATATGTGAAACATATAAAAAAAATGTTACATACAGTTCCTTTGAAGGGCCTATGTTACGTTAAACAACTCTCGAGTTTGGAAATGTATGTAAAATTAGGATGTTATAACCTCTCAAGAAAATAACTATTCATCAAATAAATTAGAGAATAGCAATGGAAAAATATTTGAAAGAATAACTACAGTAAATCGATTTTTGTTATGATTAGAATAATTTTGATCTTTTTTATTATGATGTAGTGAAATGTTGTATTAATGTCATATTAATTTTGAGATGGATGTCCTTTAACCTGCTGAAGTTGGAAATAAGAGTAGGCACAATAAGCTTTAGCTTCTGCCTACACCTGGTCAGTGATTTACTTAGTGTTTGATGTGATTTTTCTACACACTGAATATGTTTCATTTATGACATCAGACTGAATAGAATGTATGTAGACTGTAATGAGTTAAACACTGACCAAATAAAAACACATGAACATGAAATAAAAAACATATGAACATGAGAAAGCTACAAAAAGCTTATTAAGAATAAGTATTAAGAATATTCCTATACTGATATCAGTATTTTGATAATGATAATCAGAAGATATTTTAGCTATCCAACAGAAAAGTGCTAAAAAGTGTTGAGGTTGTACCAGCCAAATGTGAACTGACTTACTTTATACTCCGTTTTCAGTTATTTTTGCAGCATGTTGGGTTAGTATTTTATTATAAACGATATACACAATATTAAAAATTTAAACAACATTTATAATGCTATCAATAATTCAGCTCTTTTTTGTATAGACAGTTTAATACTAATACTCAATGTTGTGCAACAGAAAAATGCTCATATAATACACAAAACCTGAAATCTTGCCAAGATGATTTTGAGGTCATATGTAAAAATGTGTTGACAAATGAAAGAATACATTGAGTTAGCTGCTGTGCTAAGACCTGCTCCTCTGTGCAGAATGAAATGTCATGTACGAACTGGAACAAACAGAGAGGAACAGCCAGTGCTAAAAACTCACTAATGCAATTCTACGTGAAGAAGAAATGAATCAATATTTGTGTTGCATGGACATGATGACAATTCTCATTAAACGGGCTAGAATGTCATTTTGGAAAGCTATGTCATCAGAATGTTCATAATTGCAAAAATGGAGGCAGCTAGAGGCTAAATAAATATAGGCCATAAAACATTTTCAATGATTAAATGACATCAAATCCAAATAATACTGAGGATTTTAAATCTTCATGACAAAAACATAAGATGCAATTTAGAATTTCCAGGAAAGAAATCAGTCACTTTGTTTTGCTGTTATAAATGGTGAAAAAAGTAAAAAAAAAAACAAATAAAAAAATTTAATTAAATAAAAATTAACTGCAAAGCTTGGCAAGAGCTGGACAAAATATGCAACATATCTGTAGATATAATGAAAAATTGGATTAGGGTTAGCAGTAAATTCTATATAAAATCAGGATTTTCTGTTAATCAAAAGTGTCAGAAATATCATAATCTCCTATTAAAGCAACATTATGTAACTTTCTGGAACATCACCAGCATGATTCCATGGAAAAAGAAAGTTAAAACCATTCTCCATGGAGATAGATATGTTTTATGCCATACTGTGGAATTTGGTAGCCAAAGGAACAACATTTCCATGGAAATGGACCAAATCAGGCCCCGTCCACACTAGTGCATATTCCAGTCATTTTCGTTGTGGATGCAGTGTTCGTCCACACTAATCCGACTGAAAACGGCTCCAGAAACAGAACGATTTGGTGCCACCATCTCCCACAAATTCATCTGAGTACGGATCTGATCCGACACCGTGTTGACGCCTGAAAATGTTGGTACGCTGATGTAGGTCTATGTGCCGCGAAGTAATTCACCGCCAAAATGCTAAGAGGCTAGAATATATGTCCATTTATGTATACGGTCTATGCGTACGACCTGCAGACGTATAATCTCTGAAAAGTTTAACATGAACCATCTCCAACGTGACAGAAACACAGAACAGACTCACCATCAGCAGAACACCCCTCTGTCACAGAAAGAACACATATAATCCACTGAGTTGTGTCCTTTGGTCCGACAGAAGCTGAACTGCATCAGCGTACAATAGCGAGCTGTTTTTTGAGTTCTTAGTTTACGCAAATTAGTCATGCAGTTTTAAGTTTCGTTTCTGTAAAATGTAAACAAATATGCTCAAAGCTGTGTGGATAGGGAAGGCTTGCAGACACAGAAACGACGTGTCTGGACGCAAATCTTTTTCCGATACAATGATACGGTGATTTGTTTCAGTGTAAACGTAACCTAAGAGTCAGGATTGTGGAGATGCAAATCCACTCAGACTACGGTCGTATTTCATTCTGTTTTTCAATGTAATGAAACCACCCAAAAAAAACACAAAACATGCTTTAATCTTTCATTTGTTGACTAAACTGTAGCTTTAAATGAACAAATATGTGAATTATAATTGTAACTCTCTTTTTAGTATATTCAGGTGTTAATCCGGTGTTAAAATTTCTCCACCGAAATCACATTAGGTTAACTTCCGCTTTTCGTAGCCTCCATTAACAAATTTAAAGTGTATTTATTTGCAAGTCTATAAAATTTTTGACATTTCAAGGTAACCAAATTTTGCTTTAATGTGAAAAGCTTGATTTATTGTTATACCTAATTGTGCAATAGTTTTGGAAAATGACCTTGACCTTCTACAATCAGATAAATCCAAAGCCACACAGTGTAACATAGTACGTATTATGCAGCATTTTCAAGTCGTCACAGTGACGGGCTGAAACGAAGGTAGCTCTTTAGAAAATGAAGTGACTATCAGTGGCATTCGAATCTCTAATCATGTACTTGATTTAATTTCTGGAGTGCTGCTAACGGTAACGCTAATGCTAAATGTAGTGCTTGTCGAGTCTCATTATTTTAATATGAGATTTTTTATTTTTTTTTTTTTTTTGATGGGACTTTTTCTGGTGTTTCAGGTGCTCTGTTGGGGGGAGACCTGGGGAACTCAAATGGAGCATGCCCAAGTCCAGTCTGTAAGTACAACCGTGTTTTATTGTTTTGTAGTTTTTATGTGGTTCAGATGTCAACCTGGGATGATTTAAAGGTGCACTGCGTAACATTTCTAGTGGAGGGTCCGCCACCTGCTTGTCTCTGTGGAAATATTATTGTCTAGAATGTGGAACATTCATGAACCCAAGCAGATTACAGTCCTACGTCACATTACAATTCAGATCATGGAGAGACGCCACTATTCCATTTTTGGACACCTGCACCTGCCCGTACCCGAGCAGTACAGCTCCAAAACCACCCTTTAACTCGTGATTATATCAAAGTTTAATCCGCACGTGCCCAATCATTCCACCTGTTACCCGCCCATGCCCCTGATAAATCGGGGTCAGCCCATTGGTTCAACAGCCCATTAGTCCAGGACTGAACCAGGACTAAACCAGGACTAAACCACTGTCTTTAGCTTAAATATTTACACGCCGCAACCGCCGAGCCGATCACCAGGACTAAACCAGGACTAAACCAGGACTAAACCAGGACTAAACCAGGACTAAACCAGTGTCTTTAGCTTAAATATTTACACGCCGCAACCGCCGAACCGATCACCAGGACTAAACCAGGAGCATAGCTGCCGAGCTGATTGCCAGGACTACACCAGGACTACACCAGGACTACCAGGACTACACCAGGTCTAAACCAGGTCTAAACCAGGTCTAAACCAGGACTGAACCAGGACTGAACCAGGACTAAACCAGGTCTTAACCAGGTCTTAACCAGGACTAAACCAGGACTGAAACAGGTCTAAACCAGGACTAAACCAGGACTAAACCAGGACTAAACCAGGAGTGAACCAGGTCTAAACCAGTACTAAACCAGAACTAAACCAGGACTAAACCAGGAGCGCAGCCCCCGAGCCGATCACCTTCGCTGATGGGTTTTTTGTGATAAGAACACTAAAGTCACTTTCTCAGCGTGATCTGCCATTATTCCAGGAAAAGACCGGAAAATGGCACTTATTTCCAGGGCAACGGGCTTAATGGACATGCGTCAACTATTTTTCTCCCGTTCATTGTCGTTGATTTGCTTCACCTGACCCGCCCGTGTGTAACTACCCGCTCACATACCTGCCTGTAACTCCACAACATTAAAACCCGCCCCTTTCAGGAACTATTTGCGGGTACCCGACCCAGTAACGAAGTACAATATTTAAGTACAAATTTTAGGTATCTGTAAGTAAATTTTACAGTAGATACGTTTTACTTTTACTTTACTACATATGAGAGCAAGTATCTGTACTTTCTACTCCACTGCATTTTAGATCTGGACTGAATAGTAAAAAAGTACTTTTCTTTACGGTGAGACTTATTTTTAGCACATTTAATTTGAGTTTCCGTCCCAACTTTGAGCAAAACAGATACACAAAACACAAAAACGGTTAGAAGAAATAATACATCAATTGAATCACTTAAAATCACAATCATTATTATCAACTGTCTGCAAAATACTTTTACTTTATATTCTTTAAATATATCTTTAAACAGGTACTTTACACTTGTACTTAAGTAGATTTTTTCATGCGATACTTTTACTTGAGTAACCTTTTGCCCTTGTATTTGTACTTTTACTCAAGTAACAGTAACTTCATCCATCACTGCCCTATTCACCGAAGGATTTATTGTATTTCTGAGCAATAGAAACACCCACAATGAATAAATGCTAGATGGATATGTTTAAAGTCATACTGTGGAACATTCCAGGCAAAACAACAACATCTCCATGGAGACAAGCAGGTAGCAGTGCACTTTTAAGAGCTGTGTATAGTGTCATTTGGGTTTGAGATGGAGAGGTTGAGGTGGCTGATGGTTCTGCTGCTGTTGGGGCTGAATGAGGAAGTAGACAAAGAATGTATTTTTATGTGGTTTTGTGATTGACAGACAGATCGTAAGAGCTGTGTTCATCATTTTCCATATTCAGATTTGTACATAACCGGGTTCCAAGAGTCAGAGTTAGAAAATCGATAGTTTGGTGATATTTAAATTGAATGTGCGTCTCTCAGTTTTATTCATTTTACACGGAATTAATATCAAGTGACTATATTATTGTTTTGTAGTTTTTATCTCCTGATGGTGGCTGATGGTTCTGCCAGTGGAGATGAATGAGGAAGTAGACAAAGAATGTATTTTGTGTGAGTTGTTTGTAGATTGTGATTGGCTGATATTACGTCATGTTTGCACTGTTTCTCCTTACGACTTCTTCTGTATATTTGTATTACTATATTTCTTTATTGTACTTTCACTAGTACATGTACATTGATATAATAGTGCCTCATTTGACAAAAGTTTCTTGCGATTTTTGCTGCTTATTTTGAATGTATTATTGCCATTTATATTTTTGCTCTTTGTTATTATGATGTACCGTAATTTCCAGACTATTGAGCGCACCTGAATAAAAGCCGCAGGTGTCCACATTTTCAAGAACGTTTTGAAGTCAGCTTTTATCGCCTCTGAAAGCTTTTGTCGTCTTTTTGCATTGAGTCAGTTCATCACGCTGCTGTCGCCAACGTCTCACCATCGACTCATTCATGCCGAGCTCACATGCAGCAGCTCTATTTCCTTCTTTGTCAGCCACATCAATCGCCGTTAACTTAAAAGCTGCATTTTCTGCATTTCTTTGTGTGTTTTCCATGAGGAGGGTGTGTATGAAGCGCAAAATAACTGTTCAAAACAAAATCAAATGAGCATCTTCTTCAGGGCATCACCCTCCATCTCTTGCCAAGCTCTACTGCTCATGTCTCCTGCAGAAAGAGCCTCTGTCCTGTCTGTATCATGTAAGGTCTTGGAGGATTTCAGCAGATTTCAGGCGCTCTCAGGGGCAGGGCTAGTTGTATCAATCAGGTATGAGTGGATGTGTGGCTACTGAAGTTTGAGACATTTTTTCTCGTCATTTACACACACGGGTAAAGATGTATCCCCCTCACTAATGTTCATTTAGCATCATAACTTATTTTATCACACTGCGATAAACTATTTTAGTGCACTGACACCGCACAGACATCAGCCTTTTCTGCACTCAGACTGCGCGTATCCATTGTTACCAAACCATAGACCGTGCATATGAATGGACAATGTGCCAAACAAAGAATCCGTCCAAATATCTGCCGCATCGTTTTATTAGCCACAGGGTTCAAAGTGTGAGAAAAAAGTTGCGACTTATAGTTCAGAATTTACGGTAAACTCTCACAAATTAGTAAAGTTTGTCTAAGTGTTCCAGCAGTCCTCTGAGTAAGGGTATGCAAAAATATGGAAATATGGAAATATCGATATATCGTATCGCTTAATGTGATGATACAGTATCGATATCATGGGCTGCTGTATCGATATATATCGCCAAGAGTATTTTTTGGTATATTTTACTAAATTATTTTGTTACAGTGCTACAGTTTTGTTGCTTGTTTAAAGGAAGGAAACTTTTTTATGCAACACATTTGACACTTTCACTTTTCTGATGAATAAAATGTTTGTGTTTCATATGAACTTTGCACAAAAAGTGGTTTAACAAAGACTTTTAGTATCACAGACATGATTTAGTCTTTATTTTTATTGAACTATATCGAATCGATTTGAAATATATCGTACTGAATCGAAAGCTCGCTGTATGATATATGATATCTGTATGAGATATGTATCGTATCGTGGCCCATGTATCAAGGTATGTATCGTATCGGCAACTTCATAATGATACCCAGCCCTACCTCTGAGGTTGGATTTTCGGAGCCAAAGTTAGAAAATCCAAAATGTTGAAAATTAAATTGAATGTGCGTCTCTCAGTTTCAGTCTTTTTACCTTGACTGAATCTCCAGTGAGCGCCCATGCTCGTTTTAGTGCTTGTGAAGGGAACATTACCAAGTGGGGCAACATATTTGCATTTTTAGCTCAATTTAAGGGCTTTATGCAAAGTTATGTTGAGTATACTGGAAAACTACTGAATCATGTCAGACTTTCAGGTTTGCTCGACCTGAAAGTCTGCGGTGCAAACACACCAGCTCGGAGTAGTGCACACAGTTCTGTTGTTGTGTTCTTAGGCCTGACACTTCACCCACAGCGCCTACGTGTGAGTGCGGGTTGTGAATAAGTAAACAAATAACTGACTTTAGTGTAAATTATTAAAGTGTTCACATTACACTATCTTCTGATTTGTGTTATTATATTGTTTCCTCGTCACAAACGGGTCTGAAGTTGTGATTTGTTTCATTCACACATGTTTAACTCTGCATATTTAAGCGGAATTCTTTTCTCAAACAGGAAACACTCTCTTCCACCTTGTGATGTCATGTGATGATACAGGGAGGTGCTTTTTAAACTTTTAAAAAAAAAAACTCATTTGGATGATTTCAGACCTGGAATTGCCGATCTCTACTGAACAAAAGATAAAAGATAGCTGTTAAACTAAAAAAAAGTACAGCTTCATGACATCACAAGGTGGAACAGAGCATTTTGAGCTTTGGAGATGCTAATACTGTATTTTGTAGGGAGGGAGAGAGAGAAAGAGAGAAGAAAGAACAAGAGAGAGGGAGAAGGGAGAGAGGGTGAGGGAAAAGTGAAGGAAGAAGAAGAGAGAGAAGAGAGAGAATAGGGAGAGAGGTGTGGGGGAGAAGAGAGAGGGATAAGGGAGGAAGAGAGAAGGAAGGAAGGAAAGAGAAGAGAGGGAGGAGAGAGAGGAGGATGAAGAAGAAGAGAGAGGAAGAAGGGAGAGAGGTGTGGGGAAGAAGAGAGAGGGGGAGTAGGGAGAAGAGAAAGGGAGGGGGAGGGAGGGAGAGACGGAGAGAGATGGAGAGGAGGAAGAAGAGAGAGGGAGAAGGAAGAGAGGGATGAGGGAGAAGAGAGAGGAGGAAGAAGAGAGGGAGAAGGAAGAAGAAGAGAGGGAGTAGGAAGAAGAAGAGAGGGAGAAGGAGAAGAGAGAGAAGGGAGAAGGAAGAAGAAGAGAGGGAGAGAGAGGTGAGGAGAGAGAGAGAGGAGAAAGAAGAAGA